TGTTGGAGCAGATCAATACGAAATATGGAATGTTCTTCGCGAGTATTATCGAATCAGTGCTTAACGATTTAGGGACGTATGAGAGAATCTGAAAAGTTTCGCTTTCTCGCACCAGCTTCATCGCTTCAGCTTCCTCCATATCGATGCTGACATATTGCCTTCGCGAAGAAGTATAATTTTAACATTCACCGATGCACACGAATTGACTTTTAATGTCCCTGGTAGGAGTGAGGGTGGGAATGGGAGGTGTTCCGCAGGAAAAACTGTCATGAGATAGCGTTTACTGTAGCAGAAATATAATAAACTGCTGGAGAAGAGAGAAAAATGCAGATTGCGGGGACGGAACAAAAAAAAAAAAAAAAAAAAAAAAAACAGAAACAGAATGAGGTAACAGTAACGGCAGCTGGAGTCCTATCACGCTATTCAAATCCGTCTAAAACAACTGGATCATGAGCTTCTCAAGGGAATCAGTTGCGGTTTTTATGGAGCAAAAACGGCAACCCTACCTGTCGTGCGTCGAAACGACGACCAGAGAGCGTCACGCCAAGCATTCTAATGGTTCTACGTCTCTAAATCCAGCACCATGACCCGTAAGCTCGGAAATTTCCACTCGATTGACTAGAATAGACTGACACCTGTCGCGGAACAAAGCTGCTGTCGGAACACTACCTCCTTTACGTCGCCGATCCCCACAAACTGTCGCGACGCAGAGCTACAAGCCGTAACGGTCAATATCGCGAGCTACGAAAATAGCCTACGCGACGAGAAACACGGCACTGATTGTAAGACCTGACAGGCAGCTACTGTCAGCTATCGGAATTCCTACAGTAAATTGGGAACAGGATCAGTCCAGTTAGAAGCCTAAAAACCACCAGCGAACCTACAAAGGTTCAGTATTCTCCTTCTTGATCTAGAGTTTCTCACCCCTTGGCAAAAACTAAAGCAACCCCTGAAAGCTTCACGCTCCAGCTATGCTAATCAAAGCTATCGCCTTCCCGTAGTCTAACTAAAGACTGCTAGGGGACAGACGCTTGGTGGCTGGCGTGGCGGCCTGTTTCAAACAGTGAGAAAAAAGATGTGGATTCTGGAACCATTTATAGCAGTAGGGTTTGAGATGACCTTGGGAAATGTTTGGGGAAAAGGGAGGGGAGGAAGTGGCCGCTGGGGCTTGGCGGAGGAGGGGGAGGGGGAACTCGGCGGAAGCTGAGACGGGATGGTGCGGCAAGGGTGCAGTGGCGGAATGGTGGCGGGAACCTGCAGTGACTGAAGGAATGGTGGGGGAGCCTGCAGTGGCGGGGCGCGGAATGGTGACGAGCGCAATCCTCACCAGCGGCTGAGGGGATGTTCAGGCGGCGACGAATTGCGCAGGGTTCGAGGTGAGCTGAGTTGGAGGTATTGCGCAAGGGCTTGCGGATTCGAAGATTGGAAGTGACTGGCAGCCGCAGATGAATGCACTGGTGCGCCGTGGCTTTGATCGAAGTCTGGCGCGGAATCTTCGAGGCTGGGTTTGAAATTCGAGAAAAGCTCCATACACTACAGTTCTATGAACAAGATGTATACTTCAATTCAAACACTAGCAGGACAGGACCTCTAGATTGCTCCTTTGTTCCCCATTTAATTATTACTATGTGGGACTCCATGAGTGCAAATATTTAGTGAATGCCTCAACATGCACAATGCCGTTGCAGAAGCTGCCACGGTTATGACAATCTATGTGCCTGCTCGTGTGACAGGACTTCTGAGAATCTGTGAGCTTGAGAAAGGAAAGCCGGTTCAAAGGAGATACGGTACTTCATGTTGGGCTGAGATAGCCCCTTAGGATCTTTGCAAGGGATAACTCTAGGTGAAGTAGTTGTAATAGCGGAAGCGTTTAGTGAAGAATTTGAACCGACCTTGCACTGGTGTGTGAGAGCAAAGTTGATTGAATTAAACAAGCAAATACAAGGATTTATATAAGAGTACAGGGAATAGATAACTGTATTGCTGTTGCGGTTCGATATAGCGCGACTCGGGCAACTGCTCTGTAACGAGTCAGTTGTGTGTCCTTAACTGTCGCGCTGTAATTGTCGAGTCAAAGGTCAGCGACCTTTGACTTTCTCGTAACCTCCAGGCGGTTACTCTAACCTCCGAGGTTGACTCGATGCTTCGATTGGGACTGCTTCGCTTGGTACCTTGGATTTTGATACGACAGAAGCGCACTTAGGACTTATTGTTTCCAACACTCCCCTTCGCTTCTGGAGTGTTACTGCTGGTGACGTGGCCTTGTCCAGTCAGCATCATGCAGTATTCGAACTTCTGCTTGCCGAGTTTCTTGGTCAAGTAATCGGCTGCCATCTCGGATGTTGGACAGTATGACAGATCGAGTTTCCCTTTTTCTATCTCGTCCTTCACGAAGAAATAGCGCAGGGCGATGTGTTTCGTCCTGTTTGCGAAGCCGTTTTTGTTGGCGATGCGAATTGCTGACTGGTTGTCGCAGAACACGGTGAAGCTGGGTAACTCGGCTAGCTTCGCTTCTTCCAGTAGTTCGCGAAGGTAAAGTCCCTCCTTGGTGGCTGAGCAGAGTGCAATATATTCTGCTTCTGCTGAAGATAGTGCGATTAACTCCTGCTTGCTCGACTGCCAGGAGATAGGACCGATAGGCTCAAGGCGGTAGACATAGCCGGTGCGTGAGCGCCTGTTGTCGGTGTCGCCGGCGTGATCGGCGTCGACGTAGCCGATTAGCTTAGTCGGTGTAGCTGCGCTCTTGTGGTAGGTTAGCCCGATCGTCGCGGTGCTGACGAAGTAGTGGAGAGCGCGATCAAGTTCCGCCAGGTGTTCAGCTTCAGGCTTCTTGAGATAGGTGGCGAGCTGACTTGCGGAGTAGGATAAGTCAGGACGGCAGGTGACGGCGGCGAATAGCAGGCATCCGAGCTTCTTCTGATAGTCGCGTATGCCGGCGGGCTTGAGTAGAGTAGTTCGTTCCTTCTCGGTTCCTGATGTGTAGCGGTAGGGCGTGGAGATGGCGCTTGGTGTGAGGCTGAAGCGTTTCGCGATGGTGTCGGCGTATTTCTCGGCGCTTAGATAGATGGCGTTTTCTTCTTCGCGGATGTTGAGCCCGAGGTACTGTGTAACGGTGGAGGAGACCGTGAGCGTGAGGTCTTTCTGGAGCTCTCCTTCGAACCACGTGGCGATGCCGTCGGTTGACCCAATGTAGAGGAGATCGTCCACGTAGACGATCAGGAGAACGTAGTCGCTTCCCTTAGTGAGGCGGTACATGCCTTGGTCGTGAGGTAGTTGACTAAAGCCGATGCGGATGAGACGGGCGTGCAGGTACTGCTGCCACAGTCGCGGTGCCTGCTTGATCCCGTAGAGCGACTTAAGTAGTTGACAGATTCGGTTGGGTTCGCCGTGGGAACCGTGCGGGAGCTCGACGTAGATTTCTGCATCCACAGGTGCGTAGAGGAAGGCATTCGCGACGTCGATCTGCCGTAACTTCTTCTTCTTCATGGCGGCAATGGCGAGGAGAATTCGGAGTGACGTGTGGCGGCTGACTGGAGCAAAGGTCTCGGTGAAGTCTCGTCCTTGCTCTTGGTCGAATCCACGTACGACCCAGCGTGCTTTGAATTTTTCGATCGTGCCGTCTGCTTTCGTCTTGATGCGGAAGACCCATTTCCCGGTAAGGATGGTTTTGTTCCGTGCCACGCTTACGGGAACAACCTTCCAAGTGTTGCGTTCCTCTAATGCCTTCAGTTCTCTATCCATGGCTTCACGCCATTTCTCCCTGTGTTCCCCCCCCAGAGCCTGCTGAACCGTTGCAGGCTCCTTAGGAAGCGAGCTGCGTGTGTTCCCGTGGACTGCGGTGACGAGGCCGAGGATTTGCAGCCCAGTCTGTGAGTATCGAGGGAGTTCTGGATCCTCGGGATAAGCTGCTTCGTCTCCCGTTTCTGGGTCGGGCATGAAATTTGGCCCTACCCTTTCTGCTTCGTTGGTGTTGACTGTCACAGGTGTTACGTAACCATCGTCGGCGAAACGGTAGAAGATTTCGGCGTTGTTACTGTCGCGAGGATTATCCTCATCCATGGGCACGTCGACGGAGCAGTATGGGAGAGGTCCGGCTTCTTCTGAGGCGTTGTCGACGTTCTGTTCATCCCAGTCTGCTTCGTCCGCTGCTGACGCGAAGGCTCGGTCACCACGAAAACCACTGGTGAGGTCCCGATTCTCGTGCAAGTTGGCGAGGTACGTCTGAAGGGTGAGTCTTTCGTAGAAGATCACGTCACGTGCTGCTACTGTTTCCTTTGTGTGGACGTCGAAGATTTTCCATGCGTTGTAATTTTTCTCGATGCCGAGGTGTAGTCCCCACTGTGCCCGTTGCGAAAATCTTCCCGCTCGTGCTTCTGGGGGTCTGTACTGTACCATGCACCCGAAAACTCGTAACATTTTCGTGCTGCCCTGCTTCCCTGTCCACAGCAGATGCGGTGATGCGTTGTTCGGGAGTGACGACGACGACAACAAGTTGTGTAGCATGACAGCGTGGTCCATTGCTGCTGGCCACTGGTGGTTGGGTAGCCGCATGCCACGTAATAGTTTGCGCATGCTGTTCTGCAGGGTCCTGTTCAGTCGTTCTGCAACACCTTGCTGCTGATGTGCGTAAGGAAGGGAGAGGAGTTGCTTGATCCCCCTTTCCGCCAAGAACTGCTTGAAGCGGTGAGAGGTGTACTCGCCACCTCCGTCTGACTGGAAATTTTTCAGTTGTGTT